CCTGCTGCCTCTTCTAATGAGGTAAGTGAGGACATCGGACACATGTCGGAGGAGAGGGTTGTGTTTCATCAGCTGGTGCAGATCTCTGACAAGTTTTCATCATCATGTTGCGGGCTAGTACGTGTACCCTCCATCTGGCTGGTCACTCTGCACCTTTCTCCCAATCACAGACCCTGTCTCTTCTCATAAATGCCCCGCCATCATCAACGCTTCAGCCACTGCGAGCCCGCTTGACCACTGGAGCTCGCAGGCACGAAGAGTCGCAAATGGAAATAATTGTGCTGCGTACCTCTGGTCCGCTGTCCCCCTTCTGTCCTTGATCATCTCTCTCTCTCTCTCTCTCTCTCTCACTCTCTCTCTCTCTCTCTCTGTCCCTGTCCCTCTCTCTCTGCGTGAGCTTTGACTCTTTCTCTCTCTCTCTCTCTCTCTCTCTCTCAGTCAGTCCCTGCCCCCTCTCTCTCTGTGAGCCTGCTCTCTCTCTCTCTATCTTTCAGTTGAACTTCCTTTGCGCTTGCGTGCGCTAGCAAGCCTATACCCACTTCTTTTCTTTTTGATAGAGAATATTGGACCAACCTGGCTCACAACACCGTTCAGATTCATTCACTCTGCCTACTGACTGTTGCTATCGTTTAGGAGCGGTGTGTGTGTGTGTGTGTGTGTGTGTGTGTGTGTGTGTGAGCATGTGTGTGTGTGTGTGTGTGTGATGCGTTCGTGTTTTCTTCAAGTGGAAGCAGCGAGTCCTCCTAACGGAGAACGGAAACTCGCGCTGATATGTCCTCTCCCATTCACTGATTGAACTCTCCCGGACATGWAACTGCCTCCAGATGCCCGCTGATCGGTATCTGGCTGCACATTCATTGATTGGATGGAGGGGAAATCCCCCTTCGTGCACTGGCTAGGGTACAGAACCCCGGGTGTGAATGAGGCCCACCTCTCAGTTAGCTCAGTCCACCTGCACTCGATCAGCCACGAGCACTTAATTAGATCTATGCACCTAATTGCTTCACCGTACCTGATCAACATTCCTAGTCGCAGATCGGCTGTCCAAGTAGATCAGATGTGCCCTGACTTGTCCTCTCACACGTCAATTAGYTCGTAGAGTAGATAGACCGTGTGTATCTCTTYCGTAGATGACMAGTYTGTCTCTCATGTCGCTGATTATTTCTCCCTCGTGCTTTAATGACCTCTYGCTCTTGCGCGGATAGCCTGAGCGGGCTCTTGACCGCGATCTTGAATGCATCTGGTCGCAATTCACACCTCTCACTCCCACGCACATTGTCTCTCTCTCGTACTAATCATCCTGCTCTCCTCTTCACTTACCTGAGCCATCACCCCTGTCCTCTGAGCCTGCTCGTTGGATCTTGCTTGAGTGCATCTAGGCGTGATCAGCGGAGATGTGGGATCTTGTTTGAGTGCATCTGGGCGTGATCAGAGGAGATGTGGCACTCTCCCTCTCACGCGTTGTCTCCCACTCCCGCTGTGCCTGCTGCGTGGGCGGGGGACGCCTTGCATGCCGCCCCCTCCTGCCTTGAGTTACGATGATCGCTGGGTACGCATGGCGCACGGTCCCCAAGCGGACTCAAGCTCCCCTGTCCGATCCCATGAGTGAACTGCGTACACCTGGCGCACTCTCTCCCGCGTGCCCAGCCGGTCTTCCTTATATTCCTTCTGGACTGTGGCTTGGCTCGAAGGAAGGGACCAGGTCTGGTTTTCTGAACCTGTCCGGTGCCAGGAATCGTCAGGAATCACAGTGCCTCCTTCCGGAAGTACCGTCAGCCGAATATTGTTCCGACTTGTACAGCRCTGCACCTTGTACCAAAATTAGCGGTCCTCTGCCGCCCCAAATCAGCCCACAGTGCCGTATCCGTAAATATCCATGTACCATTCCCGTATCAAACTGCAGAAAGGCTTAGTACCATCAAACCGGAGTACCGCAACCGTTGCAGATTGGACCTAAGACCGCAACAACCTGTTACCGTCCTGGGGTCCAGTCCGTAGTGTTCTGTCCCAGTAACCTGTCGGTGCCGAATCTTGGACCGTACCAATCTGAACCATTGACCATGTGTCACCGTCTCAATGGCCCGACCAGCCATCTCAACATTGAACAATAGTAGATTGTATCAATATTGTCCCAGTAACCGTACCGTCTGTACCGGACCAGCGTACCRTGGYATGTCCAAATCTGTGTACCGCGCTTGCCGCAGACMAGTGTTCCGGCCTGTTCCTGATCCGGTCGCCGTACCAGAAGAATCTCTAGTGAGCGCTTGTTCCAGGATAACAATTCCACACCGCAGTGGCCCGTGAGGTAACCAGTTGAAATGATCAATCTGGGCTGCAGTAATCCGTACCGTTCTGATGGCAGTGCAATACCGAGCCTGAGAATAATGTTGTGGCGCRTATCACAACGATGCCGGACCAATACCGAACCTGTAGTACGTCCAGTGCCGAGCCGATACTGGACCAGGAAAAATAGTACCGAACTAGTGTAACACCATACCGCACCAAATCCGAGTCTGAATACCCTGAACCATACCGGCGCCGAGGCTGAAACAATGTCAAATACCGTGCAATACCTCAGTCTCGTTATAATACCGAACCATTGCCATACCAATGCCGAGGCTGAATTTACCAGTCTATGCGGCAGTGGCCCAAACCGGACCAATATCAAATCGGAAATAGTCAACCGGTGATGCTGACGCCGGACCAATGTCGAACCTGAAAATGATGCAGTGGCGGTTACCACAACGATCCCGACCTAACACCGTGCCAGTAACATGGCGGTAACCCCACGCCTTCCGTCCATCCCGTACTCATAACACACAGGTTACGGTGAGGCTAGAAATCAKGGAAATCGGGTAAGCCGCACAGACAAATCTCAATCGTCACAAAGTAGAGAGAATCATCGGATGATGAATAGATAAATAATCTGGGTTCAAAATCAATCGCGAATATTTAAGTAAAAAAATCAAATATTAAAAAATCGTTGGTTCCTTCGCCCTTTTATTATTTTAGTTATATTTCTTTTTATTTCTTAATTTTTTACCATAATTAACGAAATTAAAAGGATTCTCATCAAAAATGTTTTTCGACGGAACTCAGTAAAACATCAAAATTTCTTATTTTCTTCCTCTTTTCATTGCTTTT